CCTTTGCATCCAGCATGCTGTAAACATCAGTCTTAGACTTCATTATGAGCTCTTTCCTGCCTCAATGATACCTAACTTACTAAATTTTAAGTATCTCAAGTATTTCATGCTGTAAGATAGGGTTCCTTAATTATTTAATACCTATAGCAATCTAATTTGACTTTATAACGCATGCACATTGTCTTCTGAATGGATAGGCATTGCACATTGGAGGGCAACTACAAATCTGATGTACAGAAGACAGACCCTAAGCACTAAACAACTTGTGAAAAAAGGGACCATTAATGCACAGACTGGGCTCTCCCAGGAAACAGGACACCAGCATTCAAGCTGTCCCAGGACATTTGTCCTTGTCATTTTCACTGCAGACAGCACTTTGTCCTGAGCGTTAGATACCACGTGGGCTTGGGGCATCTTCTGTGGAGACACGATTATTCATGGTGGTGAAAGCCAGAATTATGCTCTTAGGCTTCTTAGGCTTTGTGCCTTAATTACAAAATGACAGGATTTTTTCCTGCATAAAATCACATATAAAAACAAAAATATAATTGCAAAGTACAGTGTATGTAAGAGGGCAGGAAGGACATACAGTTTTTTCAGGATGCCATATTTCACATGGAACATAAGCTTAACCAATTTAAGGAAAAGATTACAGCATATGACTGTACTTCCAGGAAGAAAAAAAAAATAAAAAAATCTTAGAGAACAGAACTTCACAATCTGTTAGAGATACTTTAAATATGATTATAAAGCACATTCTATAGCTGGTTAGAAGTCTAAATATAAAACCTCGAAAATTAAAGATCTCTCAGGGCATGTACTCAATATTTCAAACTACAGTAACTGAACAACATGTAGGTGTACTTCCTAGCATCATTTCTTTGTGGGCCTCATGCTTTCCTTTCCCTCCCTATTACACTGCAGGATGGCTTACCCACAAAGGAGGACAAACCAGTTTAAGGGTCTAATTTAGACATCAACCAATATTCCTATACTACTTTTTGTTTACTATTCTCTTCATACAGACAGGTGTAATGAAAGTTGGCTTCCATGACAGCAATTTTTTTATTAAGTCTTTGATTTCTAGCTTTTTTATGGTTTACGGTTTCCATTGGCACAATGTTTCAGTGAATTTGTTCCCCATGTTCCACTTGACTGTGAGGAGTGATAGCAAAAGTTGTGCTGTGGGCCTCTGCATAAATATCACCTGATTAGATCAGCTGTGTTCTACTCCAAAATGCAAACAAAACCTTTCAGGGAAAAAAACCAAAACCATTTTTGAAGACCTATGTAAGAAGCTGCATCAGTTACACAATCCAGCTGCACCCCAGTGATCTGACCCAAGTTTAGCAATGAAGGAAGTGGCGTCAGATACAAACACGGTGCAAAGGCCAGCAGTAATGAAATGTATTTATACAGGTATCTGAGATGGAGTAACGGAAGAGCACAGTTTTGCACCTGTGTTACTTCAGAGTTATTCTACAGGATTAAGGCAATGATCAGAACTTGAGAGCTGCAGGTAGAAGTTAAGCTAAACTGAAAAAAGTCCTTCATTAAACAAAATGTTAAAATCCAACATCTTATGTGAATTTTCTTCCTTTGCCCTTTAAGTGAACAGCACATATAAATTTTAATTAAATAAGTAAACTAAAACTTCTCTTTTTGCCATTGCTCCAAACTCATGAATCAATTATTAAATTGAAAATTAGTCTCATACAGAACTGATGAAATTGTGGTGGATGAAGTCTAAACAGTTCCTTGCATGGGAAACTAAAATCCATGAAAATCTTACTCAGAAAAGACAGCCCATGAACCAGATTTGAAAACCATACACTACAAAAGCAAGGTAATAGAAAAGACATATTTCAGATTTTGAAGATACACAGGCTTTTCGGTGGTGGTATCCAGACGTGAACACAACACATGAATAGTTTGCTAACATTTCAGGCTAGGAATTCTGGCTGCAAGAGCATACTGCAGAAGTGTTGCAGAAGCTTTTAGTGCTAGATGTGAATGGAGTAAGGCTTTCCTTGACAAACTCAAGACATTTACTGGTGTAAAAGCATTTATCTAAAATTCACTACCATTTTGTCACTACCTCCAGAAGGGAGAAACTTTTTTCCACCTTCTCCCCCACACCAGTATTCTAGATCTTTAGTGAATTAAGTAGCAATACTATAATGGAAAAGTTAAGAAAAATGATAAAAATTTATTTTCCAGGTTGTTCTGTGTTTGCTCTAAGCAGTTGGAAAATGTATCTTTCAAGTATCATGAGACCAGATGAGTAATATATTAACTACGACGAAGAGCCACAAGCCTTAATGCCTCCCCTTTCACATGACATCCACCCACCATGTGGTCAAAGTCATGCAACACAAAACATTGGCTATGTGAATGAAGATGCAAGTCCAGCCACAGAATTGGACAGGGGAGGGAAAAGCTGCAGCATTCTCAGTAAAGAGGCAGTAGGGAATGACCTTGGTGCACTGTCCTGCATCACTGTCTTACAGGCTGTCAGTTTTAATCTCAAAATACTTAAGATAAATGAAAAAAAAATATAACTTCTGGTGGTTTTAGGCTGCAATAGGACATACTGTAAGACGTTTATGGAGATTTTACACTTGCCAATTTCATAGCTGCCAGGGAGGCCAGTCAGGAAGACTGTACTTCCTGACCTGTGATTGAAGCTTCCTGCAGACACTCTTGGAGCATGTACAGAAAGGGCAGCCAACAGGTTGGGAACACCCATTGCACTTCACTTGCTTCTCGCACAAGAATGAAATAGACATATTTTCGCACTGTGGAGCTTTCTCTGCTCCCTGCTTCCCCCTGCTCTGGGTAGGATCACCACTGACTGACGCCAGCGCTCCAGGAAAAGTTCTGCTTCCCACTTGGTCCTCCTGCATCAGCTCTCCTCCCTGCAGCTTGCAAGACAGCCCTTACTCTCCTCCAGTAGCAAATACTCCTCCTCTTTTCCTCTCCATCATCTTCTTCAAACGGACATCACCATCTTTTACCCACTCTTATCACCCCTACATCTGCTATCCAGCTGCCTGCATCCTCTTCTCCCCCTTCCATCCACCTCCACAGGGTGGGTTTTTTTGGTTGTGGGGTTTTAAGGGGTTGGTACCTTTTCAAGATTTATTTTTAAATTACCTGATTGGGCTACCATTTCCTTCTTCTCTCTCCCACTCCTGACAGAGACTCAAGAACAGAGATTCCCCATCCCCAACACCCCATTCTCACTCTGCAATGAAACATTTTTTCACAGGGTGGTTATATAAATGTCTGGGGATGCTCCTGAGGCGTAGCAGCATGAAGCAGGCCAGAGGAACCGCAGGGCCAGCAGGGGAGGCTGCAGCTCCTGCTCCCACTTTGGGATGCCACTTACACTTCCAGTTTCACAGGCTAGTAATAAAACCACCTCCTTGTCACATGCTTCTCCAGGGTAAATTCGTGTGCAGACTCTTCCTCGCCAGGCTCTCTGGCAGAAAGATTTTGCAAGTAATAGTGAAATCAGAGCTGAAAAAAACAGGTGTGTTCATAGAAAGGAAGTGCACAACATGAAGGATAAGCCTAAACACGTCTGGCATCAGTTGTACTGAAAACAATTCAGGGTTGTCAAAGAAACATGGGGAAAGGGAGAGAGAAAGAAGGAAACAGAAAACGTGATGTTAGTCATTTACCCATATTTAAATGAAATTCAGCATACTTTGAGTATTCTTAGAGTAAAGCATCAAATTTTACGGCTACTTGAATTACATACTTCATGAACGGTGCTCAGAAGCACAGTAAGGTAGAATAGAAAGATATTTATTACATAGTACCTAAGAAACGGAATAGCATTTTGCAGGCATTGCTCTCAACGCAGAGAATTGTGCAATGTGTCCTACAAGTTGTACTTCTTTCTGAGGAAGCAGCACATATAAGAGATTGTTATGCACATTTCCTAAAGTACTGTTACCTAAAAGAATCCTTCTCCACAGTTCATTTGGATATTTAGACAGTAAAATATGAAACAGTAAAGGACAGCATTAGAGTAGAATTTACAAGCTTCTAAAATTAAAGTTGCTGTACAGAATTGAGCTCATAAGAAACCAGCAGTAGTTTCAGGGTTTAACTGTTCCACCAGTACTCATGTAATCCACACTAATTAACCCTACATAAATGTTTTGCAATCATATCACTTACTAAAGTCAAATAGGAATAGATCTATCCCAGACTTTTGCTGGAGGCCAAATCAGCTGATTAAAAACATTGGCCATTCATCTACATAATTTAACACCACACCAAAGCAAGTGTACTTGATGGGAATTAGAACGTAAAGTCAAGCTGGATGGGTCCTCCAAAGCTGAGCAAACCAGGATAAGCAATAGCCTATGACATTAAATTACAAGTTAAATTATTAAAGCCATGAAAGGTATCACACAAAGAACACCAAAGGAGTGTTGTCATCTTATTGAAGAATTAGGTATTGAAGATCTATTTAGAAATGTTATTTTGAACAAAGGAATAGGAATGTGAAATTGACATAAATTAGCAAATCCATGGAGAATATACTTTGGTAAGAAAATTAGGGAAGGATATCTAGATAAAGTATATATGGCTGCACATACCATAAATACGAAGTCTGTTGGGGCAACAAGACAATTTAATGCTGTCAAAAAGAATTTGTTAAATTAATTGTGTCACAAAGTACCTGAACCTCTTATCAAAATTAGTCTAAATTAGATATAAATATTAATCAATCTGGTTTTATTATGAGCACAAAGGACATTTGCATAGCATAATTCTGCTGGAGTTCTTATGAGGAGCTCACCACCAGGGAGGCACTTGAAATGCCACTTAGAATTCATGAGAAGAACCATGAAACCAGATCCAGTCTACTTAAGGTTAGAATCCCTATCATGCTTTGATGGTTTTGGTACCACAATGAATATTCATAGATCTGTCATCTATGTTTACCTCAACATTTAAAGTAAATTGACAGTATTGCTTACCTGAATTTCACAACTTCAGTTACTCAAGCCCTTTCTTCAAGCAGCAAGTTATTCACTGAAGATATCCCCAATTCTAGAGAGCAAGGAAGAAGGGAAAAAATGGCATAAGTAACTATCCATTACAGTTCCTAATACAAATTATTTATAACGAAGAACAATGTAACTTCACATTAGCAGGAAGAAAAGAAAACGGCTACGAAGAGGGACAGTCAGGAGTTCTCCAACTCATCTCCTTTGCAGAGCACCATTGATGTCAGAACAGCTGAGCTACTGCCATTTGTGAATGAATTCAAGGATTAAGAGGCTACCTCGTTTACTGCAGTGTTCGAAGAAACCTCCACTGACTTGTGCACTCTCAGGTGCTCTTTATTCTTACCCTAATTTGTTTATAAATTGTTTAAAATATATACAAAATTTATGTGTGTGTATATATACGCATGTATGACATAGCTAAGGGAAGTGAATAAGGAGCACGGGTTCAAAAGCAGTAACCACTTAGTTTTGGCTGTTCCTTTTGCTAGGGTCAAACCTTAGTATTAGCAGGGGCTAGTGGAAAGGCCCTAAACCAGATGTATATTCCAATATCTTTGTGTGCAAGATTAGTTAGATAATCCACTTTACTGATCAGCTCTCCGAACACTGGCAATACCAGGTAGTTCAGGAAATAACTGGTTTGTACTAAGTGCCCAATAAGAATGCATAACTTGGCAGTTAAGTCTCATAATACATGTGAGGTTTCGCAAACAAGTTTGTTATTGAATTATTGTCCATGACATCTGCTACCAAGTTCAGGAGTTCTCAGGGAAAGGAAGGATGGATTACAAATACCACAGGCAATAACAGAAAGGAAACACATTCATAAGCGCTGGCTCTGAGTGACAAGAATCACAGCTCTAGAATCTGCTGTTGAAGTACCAGCAGATTGTTTACAGGTGTCAAACCTGTATTCAAAACAAAACCCCCTGTATTCAAAACAAACCAGAACACCCCTGTATTCAGAGAGCATCCACCTGTAATGATAAACTGTTGTGAACAGCATTCATATACCAGAAATGGCTTCAAAACAGACAGGAGCTGTGAGGAAAGCTGGAAACTTCAAACAACCCAGTTCAGGCTTCAAATGCTCACGTAAATAAGGTAAAAGTAGTAGTAAATTAAATTTTATGTATCTCCTATGTTAGGTAGTGTAATGTTTTGCAGACTTTATTAAAAAAAAAAAAACAACCCGTCTCTTCTACACTTGAGCTCCCTTGTATTTTATCTTTCACACTACAAGGAAAGGCATTTTTTTGCCAACTTTCACTGGGGGCTTGTCATATTTCAGCCCTTCCTTGCTCACAAACTAGGGAACAGAGTCTTCTGGGTTTTTTTCTCAGACTGACATAAGCCAAATTTTAAAAGTAAAATTAAGGTGTTTTTTATCTTTACCCTGTAGTTTTCCGAAAAGACTGTCAGAAAATTTATAGACTAGAAACAAAGAGCTGAGGCAGATGAGAGCAGGTAAACAGACTATAAATGAAGAGAAATGGTAAATCAAGAGAAGAATGCTGGGAGGAAAAGAGGGAAGGGAGAAACTTGTCTGGACAGCGTTACATGTCAGAGACAGAAAGCTTTGATCACCTTTTTTGTTAGCACAGAAATCTGGGTGGTCAAAAAAGAAAGACTTCACAGCAGTGGATTAGTAAAAGGAACGATATTAGGAACTGGCTATAACTGCCTTTGTGAAAATCCGGTTTGATGATTGCATAGCCCTGACAGTGACACAAGGAGACTCTCTGGAAAGAATGAGATTTGAGACTCCTTCGTTTGGCTGAGGAGTCAGACAACAGCTTTTTACTCTTTGTTTGTCTTTAGTTACCTCAGAATAATGAAGGTGAGACAACAGTAAACATTAATTGGCAGAACAATAAGCTTGACAGACTATATAAAACATATAGAGTTACTACATGAAGGGATAGAGAACTACAGGTCTGAAAGATGGGACATCTAGTTGGAGCAAAACAGGAAGCTATCAACATAGCAGCAGAGGCACACAGGGAAAACAGTATCGTAATGCTTGGGCTCCACATAAAAGTCAACAGAATTCTACTTACAGGTATTCTGAATATAGTTTCTTTCCTCTGATAAAAGCAACCTGCTTATAACACATGACACTGCACTGGTTGCCTAACAAGTTCAGTAAGAAAGCAAATAAAAATCCTTAAAGCCAGGAAAGGCAAACATACATTTTTAGAGCAGATGTCAATTTGGGAACTGAATTGTCTCTGGAAGTTGACTACCTTCTAGTTAAAGACCCCGTGAACAATATCTGATATATAGATAGGAGAACCAACTAATTTAACTGTAGTTAAACATGGACCTCCTCACTCAAATGCAATTAAACTGAAATCAAAGCAGAGAAAGATTCATGTTAGTAAATTTTACTGAAAGAAAACTGAGACAATTCTGCAGTATGATATGTTAGCACAGAGCACACACGTAACATCCTAAAAACATGCACAGCCTGCAATTCTATATAAGCCATTTCAATACATAACACTATTTATACAAATGAGGTAATGGTAAATATAAGAATAGCTAAATTTAGAACTTCAAAGCCAAATGTCTTCCTCCACCCCCTCCTTAAAGAAAAATAGACTAAGTAGAAAATAAATGAGTTACACTTTCCTAAACTGTAGTATTAGAAATCTAGGGCCATGCCGTTAAGAGTGGCAGGACAGAACAATGAAAGCCGTCCTTGTACAATAATAATTTAAAGTCAGTCACAAATGAGATCTGGACCAGTAGTTGTAAGTCATCGTGTCACAGCTATTTAGAGTACACAGATGAATGAAGCCTGTAGACTAAACCCACATCCTAATGGACAATTTAATTCACAAAACCACTTCTCTAAATGGTAGCCTTCTGGCTTGAAAGGCTATTAAATGAACTGGCATAGAGCACCAGCCAGCAGAGTGGAAAGAATGGTTGTTTGCAGGTACTGCCAAGGCACACTACTAATCAAGCTGTAACCACTTTCTATGAAGTCTGGACAGCTTATTGCAGGCTTGCCCATATCACTCATTCATTAAGAATGTCAGTTATAAATAGCAATTGTCTAAGTGTTAGCATTTGCATGAGATTTTGAAGGTTTATGCTTGTCTGAAGGCTTGTTTTCAGAGCTTTCAGAGCTACCAATTCAGTATGATTCCTATATTTCAGAGTAATAATTAAATTACTGATTTAACCAGTTAAAGAAATCTCTAACATTGCAATATTAGCAGGAGATTTCATCATTATCCTGACATTATCTGCTTGGATGATTTCTTATTTTACTCAGTCCATCACAGCTTAAAAGTCATATTAGCCTTTTTGAGAAGTTTAGTATAAAACTTGTGTATGAAAACAAAGATGACAAAGTACAAATCAATATGATAAATGACATATGGATTACCTTAGAAAGGTGAAACATACCTACTAGTACAGTGCTTCTACTGAAAAGATACACTCTCTTTTAGAGAACCTAAATGATAAATAAGTCCATCTTGATGGGGCAGCTGCAAAAGCATCATAAGCATTAACAGACTTGAGAAAATTAATGCTGTAATTACTAAGTGTATCAAATTCAGAGAGAAAAATCATTAGTGCAGCCCCATAATGCTTTCTAAGTTGTTTCACAATTACATAGAACAGGTTGAAATTTGATAAAGAACTTGAAGACACTATGTATGTAAAGTGTAAGCTTTAAAAATCCATTTGTGTCTTAAGGAAAAATATTGTCTAAGCTAAAGAGGCCATGAGTTCATGGTAGATGAAGAGTTAAATAGCCTGCAAACACCAAATCCTTTTGAGTGAAAAAAAAAAAAAAAAATCCAGACATTGAACTTCTGGAGAGAGTCCAGCAAAGAACCACAAAGATCAATAAAGGTCTGGAGCATCTCTCCTATGAGGAAAAGGTGAGAGAGCTGGGACTGTTCAGCCTAAGGAAGAAAAGGCTCAGTGCATCTTAGGGTAGATGAAGAGTTAAATAGCCTGCAAACACCAAATCCTTTTGAGTGAAAAAAAAAAAAAAAAAATCCAGACATTGAACTTCAGCAGTTTCACCAGTGTATCCACATGAAAATGATAATCTAAACTTTATATTGGGTTTTGTTATCTTCATTAGAACATCTGACTTTTTCATCCTTTTGCAAGCTATTAAAAACAGAATTGGGAAAAAAAAATAATCAAGGATTAGATTTACACCTGCTAAATAATTTTAATCTCTCTAGACATATATAGTATATACACACAGTCAATGACAAAGTCACATACATACAGAAAATTACAGATAGCCAGTAGGGCATATTTTATCATTTCATTATGAACTGCTGCACCAATTCATTTAATAGAGCCATAGTAAATGTGAATGGGAGTTAATAAATATCAATCGAGTTCACAGCTGTGCATATTTGGAAGCAAAAGAGCCATAAGGCATGTAACATTAAATTTGAGGCACAAAAAATCATGAAAGCTCGTTTGAGTTTCTCCCATTCCTATCAGAGGGATGCAAGTGTCAACATTAGAGTCCCTTAGAGGACAACGTAGAGACAAGAGTTTACACTTAAGTAAGGAGGAGGAAGATACCTCTATTCACCAACTTAGCCTAGAAGAGGACTTGGGAAAGTAGCCTACTTGGAACTTTTCTCTGAATACCTTTTCCTCACCTTAAACATTGTGTTCAAGATATACAACATTAAGGCATTTCAGTATTTTATAATGTTTACATTTACCTCCCTTGGTCTCCAGAAATCTGCCCAAGAAAAAAGCAAATAATCCTCTTGGAAACTACTAGGAGTCACATGCATAGAAGGGTGACCTCCAGGTCACATTTATCTGTGCTGGCATCAAGCTTTCCTATTTCTTCTCTGTTCTAATGAAATTCTTTGGCTCATCAGTGACACAGATGTGTCTACTTGGATGACGAATAGACAACACTGTATGAACACAGTAAGGAGAAAACTGACAGAGGCTGGGAGTGCAGATATTCAGCTACGTAAGGCATGAAATCTTATATTTTGTTCCTATTAGACACATTTTTAGTATGAATTTTTA